GTAGGGAAGGAGGATGGCATTGGCATGTCAAGAAGAGTTTGTCCTCTTGGGAGGCCGAGGCGGGCGGATTGCTCAGGGGAGTTCAAACCAGCCTGAGCGAGACCCGTCTCTCTATAAAAGAAAGAAATTAATGGCCAACTGATAATACTATAGAAAAAAGGTTTACCGCTGGTGGCGCATGCCTGTAGTCCCAGCTACCCGGGAGGCTGAGGCAGAAGGATACTGAGCCCAGGAGTTTGAGGTTGCTGTGAGCTAGGCTGACGCCACGGCACTCCCTCTAGCCCGGGCCAACAAAGTGAGACTCTGTTCAAAAAAAAAAAAAAAAAAAAGAGTTGTCTATGTAAATGAGCCTATGTGTGTGGTTTCCAAATTAAATATTTGAATGTGATGGGAATGACCAGTTAGTTGTAGGCCAGAAACCTGCTTTATATCCATATTTTCCTAAAATAAATTCTACTAGATCAACCATCAACTCCAGTAGCAATAAAGAATAATTGCTAATACCTTAAAGGGTGTTTAGTTATGGCACACATGGACACTCAGAAAACTTTTCTTGAATGAATAGATATAATGCCAGCAGTTGTATGTGCTCTGCTAATATAAGCTCCATAACCAGTTAACCAGTTTAAACTGGACTATAAAACTCCCTAAATCTCTTCAAAGGGATACGTAATGTGCCTATGTAAAAAAGAAACCCAAACACGTGTATTGAACTGGGAATTCATACTTGACGTGCAACTGATTTAAGCCCTCATTCATGTTGTTCAAAGAAATATACTGTCAAGATTCATTGAAGAAGAATTGAGTTAGGTAATGGCAAGTCAAGTTGCAATAATGAATGAAGATTATAGCCAAAAACATTACTGAGTTACAGCAGAGAAGATGGTGTTCAACCAGTTATAGGGAGCTTTGAAGTGAACCATTTCGCCCTGGCCCCAGGTGAAATTGTGAAACTGGCTCGGTCTGTCTGGGTGCCCCTAGACCTCCCTCACTCCTTCAACCCTATTCTAGATTAACAACTCCCTCCTGAGCCTCTATCCTCCCTAACTTTTTCCAAATTATAAAGAAAATACATGTATGTTGAAATTACAGCCAAGATATTCTAATTCTTGTATCATGATAGCCTCAGAGCAAATTTCCAGGCTATAGACAGAGAGTGCTTCCCACTTAGTTTACATAAGCTCTGATATTTCCCTAGAAGTAAAGGCTATGATCTCTGGCCTTTATTTCCTACTTTTTCCTAGATGTTTGCTTATCAAAAGTCCCCACCTTCTCCTCCAGTATCGTACAAGTAGTTAGAACTTGACATGGATGCAGTAGGGGAGGCAGTGCAGGGAAATATAGCTCTTCATATTCAGTAATTACAAAACAGCCCTCGAATTCAGGGCTTATTTGTTATGTAACCAACAGCTAAACATTTGGTTAGACAAGAAGATAATCCAAAGCAAACTGAATTGGGTATTTCTTTGGGCAACTTATTTAGAATCTTCTGTTCCCAAGTCAATCAACCTACCCTTTTTAAAACTGTGAGTCATCATAATTCTCATTCTGACCAATTTTTTTTTTTTTTTTTTTTAAAACTGTGAGTCATCATAATTCTCATTCTGACCAATTTTTTTTTTTTTCTTTTACTCCTGGCAAGCTGTGACTGACCAGTATTTTAATACTTCACCACTAAGGGGAAAATGAGTATTGCATTTTGAATACATTCTTAACTGATGAAAGGGATTATTGAAGATTTAGTAAATTACTATGCTACAGCATAATACAAGACAGCCTTTTAATATTGTGTATCTGGATCTGGCATCTAGAACTGCTACAGCCATCTTTTACCCATGAAGAGAGTGATAAAAGAAGTTTTGTTGGACTTTGAATATGCTCATTCAGATTTGCTTACTGCATGACCCTGAGTTTATAATGCAGCAATGAGTCAGAGCTCCAGAAGGCACCAGAACAACTCCTTTTCAGAAAGCTGGTCAGAGTCCGTAGAACAGCTGCCTGGTAGTAAATTTGCGGCTGTGCTATCTAGACTCAATAAACTGACTTGGGACATAGCGATCAGCTGTGCCAAACTCCACTATCAGCAACCAACTTTGAACGGACAATCCAAGGTGTTTCCAAACCAAGCAATCAATTTTCACAGTGAAAAATTTTTTGATTTCTGCCTTTATAGGTCCACCATTGTCTTTGTTGGAGACACAAGCTTCAGAAGTCTGGGCTTCCTCTTATATACCTATAAACATGTAAATCCTCAAGACTTTACGTTAAATTTGCCTTCATGTTATTCTTTTCAGTTAAACACTCTGACCCAAAATGTTTATTTTTCTTTTGTCTGGAGGTCAAAACTGATACCCAAAGTGGCAAAGCAGAAAGAACCTGGTTCTTTTGGTGATATCTTTATATTAATACAAGCCCTCCTACCTCTGGACTTTTTGTTATGTGATATAATAAATTTCCTATTTTGCTTAAGCCACACTCAGTTGGGTTTTTTCTTATTTGTACCCAAAGTAAAAGAACTGATACATATTCTTTTGTTGCTCTATCAAAAACAGTGCCCCACCCATGCCATCACACACCGCACCATATCATCCTTTATTTCTCTTCATATTCTCTTCTGATCATTACCTGAAACTATACATTTATTTGTTTGTTTACTTGTTCATTGTCCGTGTTACCCACTAAAACATAAGTTCCCCCAAGACAGGGACCTTGGCCTAGCCAGCTGCTCAGTGTCTAGAAAGTGCCTAGCACATTACAAATACTCAAAACTATTTGATAAATTAATGTCAGTTTTGTCCAGAGGATTGATTATATATTGTCTTAGGTTGGGTGTCCTAGAAGCAAAGCTTGAAACAGGGATCAGGAGCATGTGACTTATTGAAGAAATGCTCTTAGAAGAGGAGAATGAGAGTAGTAGGATAAGGCAAGCAGAGAAGCTAAACACAGATGTGGTCTCAGCTGAAGTCTAGCCTTAGCCTGATTCCCTGGGCAGCTGTTGAGCATGAACTGCACCATAGAGCTGGTAGCACTTTAAAGCAAGGGGGTCAGTTTTAGGGTTTTTTTACACCCAAGTCAATAAGCCATTGTGCACTGACTGGGGGAAGAAGGGGATTTTATCTCCCAGGCAAGTCAGTTTTCATTCAACCAACAGCAGTTCTCTCCAGAGAAGGGAGCAGTTGTGAGTAGTTGGCCTGCAATACTCACAACAGCTAGGGGTGGGCACACAGGTCTGGTAAAAAGGGATGTGACTGGGACGCCAACAATGTTCACAATACATATCTGGAAAATAAAAGCAACCCTAGAGAATTACTTAAAAAAAAAAAAATTAGAAGCAATAATAGAATTTGGTAAAATGGCAAGTTGTAAAGTTCATTTATATTAATAAAAATCAATAAAATAGCCCTAAACAGTAACTATTGGAAAAATTTACTGGAAGAAACTATCTTATTTTAAAAACCATGAGCTGATTAAATATGTAAGTATTCACAACAACTGTATGGGTCTTAAATGAAGAAAACTTTAAAATTCTATTTGGGGACATAAAAGAAGACAAGTAAATTGAAAGACATAACATTTCTTGGATCAAGAGACTAAATTATATGTTAAATATATCAATTCTTCCTAAATCACCCTATAAATTCAATTAAATTCTAATTATAATATAAACAAGAATTTTTTACCTTGAAAAATAATTTTATAACTCATGGTAAATGGTGAAATTTGGAACAAAAAAGTGTGGAGAGAGCCTGGTCCTACCACAAATTGAAGTTATGATAAGTAAAGCACTTTAGTACTTGCAAAGAAATAGATAGATCTTTGGAACAGAATAAATGATCCCAAGTAGATCCAAATATATATGGAAAGTTAGTTTGCGATAAAGGTGGCATCTCAAATTTGTGGGAGAATAAGAAATTATTATTAATATGGTTTCAAAATCACTAGGTAACTTTTGGGGAGACAAAAATGCTGAATCCCTATTTCACTCCTTAAGCCAAAATAAGGTCCAGAGGAGGAAAGATTTTAATGTAACTAGAAAATAGTATGGGAACATATATTTATTATGTAAAATGGGGAAACCTTACTAAGCAACACACAAAGACCAAGGACCATAAATCACAAACAAAGTCAAAGTTAAATGACTGAGAAAAATGTCTGCAACACATTTGGCAGGCTAATTTCCATACTTTATAAAGAGCTCTTATAAATCAATAAAATTGGGCTAGGATAAGGACAGACAGTTCAGAGAAAGAGAAATAGTTACAAGCAATAAACTCCTAAAGATAGGTTTAATGTCAGCCATAGTTAAAGGAATGCAAATCCAAACAATGGAAGATTTTTCTCCTTTGGGGTTGGCAAAATTTTAAAGTTTAATGCTATATGGTGCTAATGAAAGTGTGGGGAGACCGGGACACATATAGGATTGGTGGTATTGTACACTGGTGGGACTTTGCTAAGTAATTTGGCAGTCATTATCAATGTAAAATGCATATACCCTGGGTCTATCAAATTCACTACTAGAAATATTTCATAAGGCTATACTTGCAAAAGTTCACCAAGATAGAATGTGTGAAGATTTTTAGTGAAGCATCATTTGTAATAGAAAAAAAACATAAACAACAATCTGAAAGCAATCAAATTTCCAAACAGTAGGGTATTGGTTTAATTGCTTATATGGAATACTCTGCAGCCATTTTTTTAAAGTATGAGGTAGATTAGTTTGTGCTGATATGGAAATGATGTACAATGGGATATTTGGTTTAATTAATTAGGCCCTTTATTAAAGAGTTGCCATTCACTGCTCATAGATTAGAATAATAATGAAACACATGTATAATTTTAAACTCACCTAAATAGTAGTGGTAAGGCAAAAGCTGTTATAGACTTGTGCTTAGGGACAGAATAGGACAGTTATTGAGACTACAGACTCAGTTATCTATCATTACATAACAAATATAACCCCAAAATATAGCAGCTCAAACAACAAATATTTATTATCTCACAATTTCTGCAGGGCAGAAATCTTGGAGTGGCTTAGCTGGATGGTTCTGGCTCAGGGTGCTTCATAAGACTGAAGTCCAGCTGTTCGCTCGGGCTGCAGGCATTTTGAAGCTCAAGTAGTGCTGGAGAATCTGCTTCCAAGCTCACTCGCTCTCTCTCTCTCTTTTTTCCTACTGATAGATACTCTTTTTATTTTTAATTTCAGAATATTACAGGAGTACACATGTTTTGGTTACATAATTTGCTTTTGTACAGTTTGTGTCAAAGTTATAACAGTGCCCTTCCCTCTTATATGGTTGTTGGCAGCCCTCAGTTCCTCCCTGGTTATTGGCTGGAGGCCCCCATTCCTTCCACGCAGATCTCTCCATGGGGCTGCTGGACATGGCAGCTGGCTTCCCCCAGAGCGAGTGATCCAAGAAAGAGGGGGGTGCACCCAAGGCAAAAGCCACAGTCTATGGCCGGGCGCGGTGGCTCAAGCCTGTAATCCCAGCACTCTGGGGAGGCCGAGGCGGGTGGATTGCTCGAGGTCAGGAGTTCGAAACCAGCCTGAGCGAGACCCTGTCTCTACTAAAAATAGAAAGAAATTAATTGACCAACTAAAAATATATATAGAAAAAATTAGCCGGGCATGGTGGTGCATGTCTGTAGTCCCAGCTACTTGGGAGGCTGAGGCAGGAGGATCGCTTGAGCCCAGGAGATTGAGGTTGCTGTGAGCTAGGCTGACGCCACGGCACTCACTCTAGCCTGGGCAACAAAAAGTGAGACTCTGTCTCAAAAAAAAAAAAAAAAAAAAGCCACAGTCTAATCTCAGAAACGGCACACCAACACTTCTGCCATACGCTATGGGTCTCACGGTCCAACCCTGGCATAGCGTGAGAGGGCGCTACATGAGATATGAATACCAACACGCAGGGGTGCGGGGCTATTTCGGAGGTTGGCTACCATACAGGCTCTACAGTCGGACTCCAGGGTTTGAATCCTGAGCCCCATGGGTCACTTAATACTGTCTGCCTCAGTTTATACATCTATAAAATGAGAATAATAACTATTTTTTGTGAGGACTAAAATAGCTAATATATTTTTAAAGTTTAGAATATAATTAAGGTATTTATAGGTGAATTATAGGACATCTGATATTTGCCTTAAATACTCCAGAAAAAACTGGGAGGGAGAATGATGATGATAAGTAGGTGTGGCAGAATGTTACAATGTTGATAATAGCTGCAAGTGGGTGATGCATTCAGAGAGGCTCTTGTGCACTCTTTTCTTTAATTCTTAAGTTTGAAATTTTCCATAATAAAAAGTTACATAATTTTTTACATCAAATGTTTAAAGCAGTACCTGGAACATTAAGCACTCAATAAATGTCAGTCATTATTTTTAGAATGCTGAATAGGCTGGATTTTTCTTTATTCAAGCGGCACAATTTCTTATACACTGGGTCTTTAAACATGTATACCTTATTTTGTATGAACTTATGATGTACAAGTGCAAGTTTCTTACATGCATAGCTTGTGTAGAGGTCAAGTCAGGACTTTTCGGGTATCTATTACCCAAACAACATACATTGTACCCATTAAGTAATTTCTCATCATCTACCCTCCCCCCACCGTCTCACCCTTCCGAGTCTCCGTTGTCTATCATTCCTCACTCTATATCCATGTGTACACATTATTTAGCTTACGAGTGAGAACATGCGGTATTTGTCTGTGACTTTCTTGTTTCACTTAAGATAATGGCCTTGATTTCCATTTACATTGCTGCAAAAGGCATGACTTCATTCTTTTTTATAGCCCAATAGTATTCCAGGGGTTTTTTTGGGTTTTTTTTTGTTTGTTTTTTTTTTGAGACAGAGTCTCACTTTGCTGCCCAGGCTAGAGTGAGTGCCGTGGCGTCAGCCTAGCTCACAGCAACCTCAATCTCCTGGGCTCAAGCGATCCTCCTGCCTCAGCCTCCCAAGTAGCTGGGACTACAGACATGCACCACCATGCCCGGCTAATTTTTTCTATATATATTTTTAGTTGGTCAATTAATTTCTTTCTATTTTTAGTAGAGACAGGGTCTCGCTCAGGCTGGTTTCGAACTCCTGACCTTGAGCAATCCGCCCGCCTCGGCCTCCCAAAGTGCTAGGATTACAGGCGTGAGCCACCACGCCCAGCCCCTTATTTCAGGGTTTATATATTATATATAATGCATTTTCTTTATCCAGTCATCCACTGATAGATACTTAGAGTGACTCCACATCTTTGCTATTGTGAATTGGGCTGTGATAAACATACAAGTGCAGGTATCTTTTTGATACATTGATTTCTTTTTTGGGGGGGTAAATATCTAGTAGTGGGATTGCTGGATTGAATATTTTTTTTTTCTCAGAACATTCAGCTTGAGATGGATTGAATATTAGTTCTACTTTTAGTTCTTCGAGAAATCTCCATACTACTTTCTATAGAGATTGTACTAACTGACATTCCCACCAACAATGTATAAGAGTTCCTTTTTTTCACATCCTCACCAACATTTGTTATTTTTTGACTTTTTAATAGCCATCTGACTAGGGTACGATAATATTTCACTGTGGTTTTAATTTCCATTTCTCTGATGATTAGTGATGTTGAGAACTTTTTTCATATACCTGTTGGCAATTTGCATGTCTTCTTTTATAAATGTCTATTCATTCCTTTGCCAGTTATTAATGGATTATTGGTCTTTTTTGTTGAATTGTTTGAATTCCCTGTATGTTCTGGATATTAGCTCCCTGCCAGATGCTGTTTTACTTCATTTGCATTGCTATAAAGGAAATACCTGAGGCTGGGTATTAAAGAAAAAGGTTATTTGTTGGAGGCAAGGCAGGAGAATCACTTGAGGCCAGGCCAGGAGTTCAAGACCAGCGTGACAACATAATGAGATCCTATCTAAATTCAACATCAGATGCGTATTGCAATTTTTCCGTCACCTGCAGGTTCTGTTCACTATGTTGACTATTTATTTTGCTGTGCAGAAGCTTTGTAGTTTAATTCATCCATTTGTCTACTTTTTGTTTTTGTTGCCTGTTTTTGAGGTCTTAGTCATAATTTTTTTTTTTTTTTTGCCTAAACCAATATCCAGAAGAGTTTTCACTAGCTGTTCTAGTGTTTGCATAGGTTTGGATCTTTCATTTAAGTCTTTAATCCTTCTCGAGTTGATGATTTTTGTATATGGTAAGAGACAGGAATCCAGTTTCGTTCTTGTGTATACACCAATCCAAGTTTCCCAGCACCATTTATTTATTTGTTTTTATTTTTATTTTTTTTAAGAGATAGTAACTCTCTCTGTTGCCAGGGCTGGAGTGCAGTGGCATGATGATAGCTCACTGCAGCCTCCAACCCCTGGGCTCAAGCCATCCTCCTGCCTCAGCCTCCTGTGTAGCTGGTACTACAGGCACACACCACCACGCCTGCCCAGTCTTTAAAATTTTTTTGTAGAGATGGGGTCTTGCTATGTTGCCCAAGTGGGTCTCAAACTCCCAGCCTCAAGTGATCCTCCCACCTTGGCCTCCCAAAGTGCTGGAATTACAGGCATGAGTCACTTCACCAGGCCCCAGCACCATTTATTAGAAATAAAGGTATAACTCTTTACTAAATAAAGGTCTTTACAATATTTATTTAAAAATTATCAATCCATTCAGCTATAATCATCTACCAGTGCCCCAGTAATCTTTGCAACTGCAATAATGCAGATATATATATTTTCTATATCTTATGTATCCTATGAACCACAAGAGGGAGCCCATGTCTAGAAACACACAAAAAGTGATAGAATTTCAGTTGCCCCTTGAGCAACACTTGGTCAGCAGTACCTACCCCGCGCAGTCAATAATCCACATTTAACTTTTGATTCCCCAAAACCTAAACTACTAATATCCCACCATTGATCACCTTACTGATAATGTAAACAGTCAATTAATGCATATTTCGTATATTATATATTGTATACTGTATTTTTAAGATAAAGCAAGCTAGAGAAAAATGTTATTAAGAAAATCAAAAGGAAAAGAAAATATATTTACTATTCATTAAGTGGAGGTGGATCATCATAAAGGTATTCTTCCTCGTCTTCATGTTGAACAGGCTGAGGAGGAGGATGACAAGGAGGGCTTGGTCTTGCTGTTTCAGGGTGGCAGAAGCAGAAGAAAAAATCCAGATATAAGTGGACCCGTGCAGTTCAAACCTGAGTTGCTCAAGGGTCAACTGTACTATTACCAAGAATGATAGTCCACTGAGCTACCCCTGTGAAGAAACAAGAGTTAACAATCCCCTGATATCAGCATTCTCTACTCCTTCCCTCAACAGAGAGGCCAACATTGTTTCTAAAAACTCCTTGAGGAAACTTAAACCAGAACCCTCCCAGTGTGAGAGGGTGGGCTGGGCTACCTTGGTAGGGAGTGATGTTGGGGGAGGGAAAATTGGGGCCACACTGTGGTAGGCCTGGTGTGGTGGCTGGAGCTTAGCTTTCCTTGTAGCACCCGGGAAAAGGGCCAGACTCAAAGAGCCTGCCTAACAGAAGCAAGATTCGCAACAATATCTGAGGGGTACTTAAAGGCATTTCTAACCAAAATATCTCATACTAGTTTGTTCTGGTGCCTGACATTATTTTCCTCACCAGGGAGATTCATGCAAGAAGGGAATAGAGAGATACCTGCATTGTCTTCCTTGTGGATTGGTGTAGTGGGAAGTTCAGAGGGGTTCCAGGACTTCAATTCCGCCTAGTAGTTAAAGAAGAAGATAAGGCAGAGAGACAGAGACGCAACCACTCATAATTGTAAACAAAGGCATCTTTCTCTCCAAGGTGGGAATAGCTTTCTTGATTTTTATGATTGTAAATGTAACACATGCTCATTAGAAAAATTCAGAAGATATAGAAAAATATGAACTCCGTGTATAATTTTAATGGGATTAGTCATGAATACTGTTTAATAACCTGCTTTTTCACCAATAATATATTTTGGACATCTTTCCATGAAAAATAAATGTCATTGTGGCCACAGAGTATTTTCCTGTATGAATATGTCAAATGTACTATTTATAGTACAGTTTTTAAATATAGAAATTCATATGTTCCTATGAGGTAATGAACATGGAACTTTGCTCATTAGTTCAATTATTTTCTTAGGATATATTTCTAAAATTGAAATTGTTGAGTCAAAAATTACATAATTTTTTTTTTTTTTTTTTTGGAGATAGAGTCTCTGTTGTTCAGATTCCAGGCGCATGCCACCATGCCTGGATAATTTTTTTCTACTTTTTGTAGAGACAGGGGTCTTGCTTTTGCTCAGGCTGGTCTTAAACTCCTGGCCTCAAACAATTCTTCTGCCTTGGCCTTCCAGAGTGCTAAGATTACAGGTGTGAGCCACTGTGCTCAGCCTAGAATCTTGATGCATATTACCAAGTTGCCTTCCTGAAATTAAGTACCAGTTTATATCCTTAGTAACAGAGTATTGACGATATCTATTTTCTACAACTCTATGAATTCCAGAAACTATCATTTTTTAATTCAACAAAATTCATTTCTTACTCAAAATTTTAAGAAACTTCCAAGCCCTAAATACCAATGATACTTTTTGAAAGTTTATAAAACAATAGGAGTCCATCAAACATTCAGCAATGTAAGTTTCAATAGACATGATTCTCAGACAATAAACTTTAGTTAAGGAAAGAGTAACAAATTAATAATTTGGCCGGGCACAGTGGCTTACGCCTGTAATCCCAGCATTCGGGGAGGCTGAAGCAGAAAGATCACTTGAAGTCAGGAGTTCAAGACAAGCCTGGGCAACATAGTGAGATTCTGTCTCTACAAAACATTTTAAAAATTAGCTGGGTGTGGTAGCATGCACTTGTAGTCCTAGCTACTTAGAAGGCTGAGGCAGGAGTATCTCTTGAGCCCAGGAGTTCAAGGTTATAGAGAACTCTGATTGGGCCACTGCACTCCATTCTAGACGACAGAGTAAGATCCTCTGTAGTAGTAATGAGGATAATTTTTTTGGTAACATCTGATAATTATTTATCACCATGTATCACTCTGTAATGTTAGCTGTAAAATATAACTATGATAATTCAATTATGACTTGTAATTGAAGATCATTTTGTTGTTGAATCATTGACTTTGTTCTAAATACAAAAGAATTTTGTCACATATGTACCCAGAGAAGGACTCCAAAACCAGAAATGACTAGAATTTGTTCTTGTTTTAAATATATATGTAGAAAATAAGTTGGTATTTAGGCCAAATAATTAATTCTGAAAATTATATCTGTTAAAGCCTACTTTAATGTCCAGTAAATATGCTTTAGAAACTGCTTCAGATTTAATACAATTATATTATTAATAATAAAAAGCATGACTCTAGAATAGTGGTTAAGTTTATTATTCTTCCCATAAGCAAGCATGGTCATCTAAAGAATGTATAATTATGTGAATTATAGTCATTGTAAGTCAGAGCAATGAAATGCTAGAAAAACTAGAGAACTTTTACTTAGATTTTTAAGAATATTTTATTTAAATTTAATGAATGAATCAAATAATGGGTTCATCTTAAACAAAAGTATGTGCAACTTGTCTTTTCAGTGTCTAAAACAAACAAATGAAACATGCCCCAATTTTTATTAAGATATAATTCATATACTATAAAATTTATCATTTTAAAATGTTTTTTAGTATCTTCTTAATACTGGGCCACCATCATCACTCTCTAATTCCAGAACATTAAATCACCCTTTAACAGTCACTCCTGAATCCCTCCTCTCCTGATCTCTAGCAACCACTAATCTACTTTCTATCTCTATGGATTTGCCTATTTGGATATTTCATAAAAAAGGAATCATAGAATACGTAGCCTTAAAAACATCACAGATTTATTCAGGCGTAATTGACATCATATACTTCATACATTTAAGGTGTCCAATTCAATAATTTTTAGTATATTCACAGGTATGTGCAGCCATCATCATAGACAATTTTAGAACATTTTCATCATCCCCAAAAGAAACTGTACCCTTTAGCTGTCACCTCCTTTTCCCTCTATTCCTCCTCAATCCAAAGCAACCAATAATCTACCACCAGTCTCTATATATTTGTCTCTTCTAGACATTTCATATAAATGGAATCATACAATATGTGATCTTTTGTGACTAGCTTTTATTGCCAACACTTGTTATTTGACATTTTTATTATAGCCATCCTAGTACTGTGTGAAGTCGTACCTTTGTTTTTGATTTGCACTTTTCTGATGACTAATTAGGTTGAGCATCTTTTCATGTGCTTACTGACCATCTGTTTATCTTCCTTGGAGAGATGTCTGTTCACTTCCTTTGCCCCTTAAAAAAGTAAATTATTTGTCTTTATTATTGAGTTATAAGAGTTCTTTATATATTCTAGATATAAATCCTTAATCAGATATATAATTTAGTATCTTCTCCTGTTCTCTGAGTTGTATTTTCACTTTCTTGATAGTGTCATTTGAAACATAGAAATTTTTAATTTTGATGAAGTGCAATTTATTTTTTTCTTTTATCGCTTGTGCGTTTGGTGTCATATTTAAGAATCCCTTGCACCAAATCTGAAGTCATGAAGATTTACTATGCTTCCTTCTAAGAGTATCATAGTTTTAACTCTTACACTTAGATCTTTGATCCATTTTAAGTTAATTTTTATTTATGGTGTGAAGTAGGGGTCCAGCTTCATTCTTTTGCATGTGGATGTCCAGTTGTGCCAGCACCAATTGTTGAAAACACTATTGTTTCCCCCATTGAATGATCTTGGCACCCTCATTGAAAATCAATTGACCATGGACACATGGGTGTATTTCTGGACTCTCAATTCTATTTCATTGATGTTTCTGTCTATTCTCATGCCAGTACCATACTGTCTTGGTTACTGTTACTTTGTAGCTAATTTTGAAATGGGGAAGTGTGAATCCTCCTAGTTCTTCTTTTTGAAGATTATTTTGTCTATTCAGGGTTTCTTTAATTTCATATAAATTTTGTTTATTTATTTATTTAGAGACAGAGTCTTGTTCTGTTGGCTAGGCTAGAGTGTCGTGGCATCAGCCTAGCTGACAGCAACCTCAAACTCCTGCCTCAGCCTCCCAAGTAGCTGGGACTACAGGCATGCGCCACCATGCCTGGCTAATTTTTTCTATTTTTAGTGGAGATAGGGTCTCGCTCTTGCTCAGAGCTTGTCTGTAACTCCTGACCACAAGCAATCCTCCTGCCTCAGCCTCCCAGAGTGCTAAGATTACAGGTATGAGCCTGCACGCCAGGCCTTCATATGAATTTTAGAATCAGCTTGCCCATTTATACAAAAAAAAAAAAGCAGTAAGAATTTGTTGATTAGCGCGAGAGAGGTCCTGTGTCACGCTTACATAATGCCCTGCAACTGCCCTGGGAGCTGAGCGGAGGATCGCTTTGAGCGTCCAGGAGTTAGAGAAACCAGCCTCCTGAGTAGAAAGGGAGGACTCCTAATCATTCAACTAAAAGATAGAAAAAATTGCTGGGGGATACTGAAAAGATGAGGTAAAAAAAATTTGACCTGGGGCATAGTGGTGGTGTTTGCTGTAGTTCCAGCTACTCGGAGGCTGAGGCAGATGGATTGCTTGAGCCCAGGAGTTTGAGGTTGCTGTGAGCTAGGCTGACATCATGCACTCTGGCTGAGGCAACAGAGGGAGACTCTGTATCAAAAAAAAAAAAAGAAAGAAAAGAAATTTGATAGGGATTGCATTCAATCTATAGATCAATTTGGGGAGTACAGAACAAATTTTTAAAATAATTTTATTCTAGCTTAATAAATTGTGGTAGACTGTAGAAATGGCCTCAATTTATTCCCTTTCCTATATCACATGGGCAGATGCTATTATTTTTCAGCACTTCCTATCAAATAGTAGAGTCTATTTCTTATGCCTTGAATCCAGGCTGGCCTTGTGACTTACTCTGACCAATAAGAATGAGGCAAGAGTAGGCATTGCACTAGTTGCAAGTCTCTCAAGAATGAAAGACCACATGGAACATAGACAAACCACATTTTGTTTATCCATAAAGAGGATATATTTTTGTAGACATTTTATTTTTTTAAATTTGCCTATATAACAGTTATTTTTTGCTATACAAAAAAGCCACTCCATAATTAAGTGGCTTAAAATAACAACTGTTTTTTAAAAAATGTGTTGCTCTGAGCCTGAAAAGAATGGGAAGTTCTGTTGATTTGGGCCAGGCTTCACAGATTCCCAGCTGGGTTTCCAGTCATATCTATGGTCACGTTCTAGGTCAGCTGGGAGCTGGCTGGTCTAGAATCGCCTCAGCTTGGGTGGTTTGTCTCTGCTCCATGTGGTCTGAATGCCACACTTAAAAATTGTTAAAATCGTAAAATGTTATGTATATTTTACCACAATAAAAAATACATGCCCTCTTTGACTCTGAGTCTTTAATATATCTAGTCAACTCATTCATCTGGATGGACTCTCCAGAGTCCTCGGGCAATAAAAACCCGCTTTAACACATCAACCTTCAAAGTAGCTCTGTGAATTCTCTGGACTGGCCCCCATTCCTGGCTCCACTTGTCTGCCCTCTTCCAGTAGCACCCAGCTCTTGATTCAAGACTTCAGCTTTCACTCTGGCCCTCAGTGCAGTCCTTGGAATTGACGACAGGATTCTACTGCCCAGGCTTTGGCCTTTCGTGATCCTCAGCACAGGACTCAAATTCTGCCTATGACCCTTTGCATTTTTCTGTCACTTCTGGCAAATTCCTTGCTTCCCTCACCTGCCTCCTACAACCCTATCTGGACTTTGAGATGCCCCA